AAAAAAAAAAAAAGAAGAAGAAAGAAACTTAGTAAACCAATATATTTACAATTTTTATAAAAACTTTTTTGGAGACAGCCCAGTGGCATAGCACTTAAGTTCGCGTGCTCCACTTCAGCAGCCCGGAGTTTGGATCCTGGGCGCAGACCTACTCACCACTCATCAAGCCATGCTGAGGTAGCATCCCATATAGAAGAACGACAACTCTACAACTATGATATACAACTGTGTACTGGGGCTTTGAGGAGAAAAAAGAAAAAAGAGGAAAATTGGCAACAGATGTTAGTGCAAGGCCAATCTTCCTTAAAAAAAAAGTCTTTCATATTGAAAATTTTCTGGAACTTTATACATGCATTTATTCCCACCAAGCTTTCTCATGTTACTTAAATTGATATTTCTCATTAGTAGTTTTTTTCACATTTTAGGATGTGGGCCAATGAGGTCCTTCCCACACTGTTTACATTCCAGAGGTTTTATCCAGTGAATCCTTTCATACCTTCAGAAAGAACTGGGATGAGGCCCCTGTGGCATAGTGGTTAAGTTCAGTGCATTCTGCTTTGGCATCCAGGGTAGGTGGGTTCGGATCCCAGGCATAGACCTATATCACTCATGAGCCATGCTGTGGCTATGACCCACATATAAAGTAGAGGAAGATTGGCACAGATGTTAGCTCAGGGCTAATCTTCCAAAAGCAAAAAATGAGTCGAATTGGCAATGGATGTTAGCTTAGGGCTAATCTTCCTCAGCAAAAAAAAAAAAAAAAAAAACCAATAATAGTAATAAATATAAAAAGAAGTATAAAAAGAAAGAATTGGGATCACAGAAGGCTTCAACTAAGTTATGCAACTGTGTACTGGGGCTTTGGGGAGGAAAAAAGAAAGAGGAAGATTGGCAACAGGTGTTGGCTCAAGGCCAATCTTCCTCAAAAAAAAAAAAAAGTATGTTTAGGGGTTAGAGCATCAGGAAAGACTAAAGATTAGATTACAAGAAGAGAAAATAGAAGTCAGTTTCAAAGATCTGTATTACAGGTACTGCCTCAGTTTGTAAGACATGAATCTGAAGTAGTGAGCAGCTTGATTCTCACAGGATCTCTGAATCGTGTGCAGTTACTTGGACGAGTGGGTCAGGACCCTGTCATGGGACAGGCGGAAGGAAAAGACCCAGTGATAATATTTTCTCCAGTGACCAATGAGATGTGGCGATCAAGGGAAAGTGAAGCTCACCTAATGGGTGATGTCAGTCAAAAGACAACATGGCACAGAATTTCAGTATTCCAGCCAGGCCTCAGAGATGTGGCATATGTGAGAAAGGGGTCTCAGATTGATGTGGAGGGGAAAGTAGACTATGGAGAACACAAGGATAAAAATAATGTGAGGCGACAAGCGACAACACTCGGAGGTGATAACATATTTCTGAGTGACCAGACACAAAAGAGATGGCATAAAGTGGACGATTCTTCTTTGCCCATTGTTTGGTACAGTCTCATATACAAATCATGTATAGTCTTTATAGTTTCTAAGGACAAGAACTACAATATTCTTATATATATATATAAAAGTTGTGTTTACATTATCCTTTAGTCTATTGTGCAAAAACATCTGTAAAAAAACAATGCACATTCCTTAATTAAAAAATAATTTATTGGGCCTGGCCCCGTGGCTGAGTGGTTAAAGTTCCATGCGCTGCTTTGGTGGCCTGGGTTCATGGGTTCAGATCCCAAAACAGACCTACTCCCCTCACCAGCCACGCTGTGGCGGTGTCCCACATAGAAAATAGAGGAAGAGTGGCACAGATGTTAGCTCAGGGCTAATCTTCCTCAGCAAAAAAAAGAGGAGGATTGGCAATGGATGTTAACTCAAGGTGAATCTTTCTTGGAAAAAGTAATAATTCTTTATTGCTAAAAAAAGCTAACCATCATCTGAGCCTTCAGTGTGTCATAATCATTTTGCTGGTGGAAGGTCTTTTTTTTTTTTTTTTTTGTGAGGAAGATCAGCCCTGAGCTAACATCCATGCCCATCTTCCTCCATTTTATGTGGGACACTGAGCTAACATCCATGCCCATCTTCCTCCATTTTATGTGGGACACCGCCACAGCATGGCCGGAGAAGCGGTGTTTCGGTGCGCGCCCAGGATAGGAACCTGAGCTGCCAGCAGCGGAGCGTGCGCACTTAACCGCTATGCCATGGGGCCGGCCCCTGGAAAGTCTTGTAAAAAACAAAATATCTGCAAAGTGCAGTAAAGTGAAGTGCAATAAGACAAGGTCACCTGTAAAGGTGTATCGTGTCCCTTCAGAGGGGAAGGCCAACTGCAGCTGAGAGGCCATGGACACAGCACTGAACAGAACAGACTGAGCAGAATCTGAGAGAGCAGAATGTTTACCAGGTGCTGACTGGGTGGAGTCAGTAATTTCCATAATGTTGGGGACAGGGTATAGGGCTGTATTTGGTTTGGCCACAGCCTCCAGGTTGCAGTAATCCACTGTGAGGTGTCATTCCTTCTTTCCAGACTTAAGAACAGGCCAGTTTCAGCTGTTCAAAGTAGAAACCCTGGGGATAATCACTTCTCCCTAAGTAGGTTTCTTACAACAGTTTTCAATCCTTGAAGGCTCTGTTTAATCTCCACTGGGCCATATTAATTAATGTAACTAAGGGGTAAAGACCATGGAGTCCCATTTGGGGAAGCCAAATTGGAAGGGGTGAAGACTTAATTTAACTGAATTTTAACTTAGGAATTTTTGATTCAGAGCTTTCCTGCTCACTGTGGGATATTTTAGGACAATGGGTCCTGACTGTGAGGCATGGGAAAGGGTTCTGATGGTTAAGGTGAAGTATACCAATCTGGCCTCTGCGTTATATTCGGGAACTTCCCTAAAATTGTGAGGTCCCTTGCTTTATAATTTATTTATTTTTCCCCCAAAGTCCCAGTAGATAGTTGTACGTCGTAGTTGCACATCCTTCTAGTTGCTGTGTGTGGGACGCGGCCTCAGCATGGCCAGACAAACGGTGCGTCAGTGCGCGCCCGGGATCCAAACCCGGGCCACTAGTAGCAGAGCGCGCACACTTAACCGCTAAGCCACGGGGCCGGCCCATCCCTTGCTTTAATTTACTGAGATCCCAGCCAGGTGTAACTGTAATTTGAGAATTGAGTAATTGCATTGAGTAGCACTGAGTAATTGCATGAAGGGTTGTGAATTATTGCATTACAGGAGACGGTAACATGAACTCAAAACCTATGATTTAGAGTTGCGAAAGCCAAAGAGCACCCTTTTATCTTTGTTGGTGTGCAAATTCTTTTAGCATATTTTGGATTTCCAATTGGGTCAAATTATGAACCTTTGTTTCAGTACCTTTTTCCTCTTGTTCCCTCTCTGCTATCCTTCCCTGTTCTGTATTTCAGGTCATTGGACATACTTTGCAGGATGGAGTGTCCTCTCTACCCTGGTATTGATACATCTTTCTTCCAGAGCAAAAACTCACATCAGTGTCTTCAGAGTTGGGAGCCTCCACTATAACAACTAGTTGCTTTATAGAGTTTAAGGCCTCCAGTCTGAAATCCAGTTTGACTAATGCCTTGGCTGTGCCACACACTTGCCATGGCTGTTGTCCCCTATAGCCCTGAAGGTCACGGTCTTTGTTGCAGTAGAGGCAGGGCAGCAGCAGCAGAGGGCCTTAAGGGTCCTAGTGAGCCCTCTGCCATCAGGAGTGTGGACTCCACCCATGATCTACCAGCTGCCTTTCCCTGTCTCTTCTATTTCTCACAATCTCTCTGCAATAACTCCTTTTTAAGGAGTGACCGTGTGATGGGCTCACCTCATTCACAGGGTATAATCATCCTCCTGCCCCCCTAAGACACGTCCCTAATGTAGGGACAAACCCAGCCTCAGTCACAGCTTCACTCTAAACACAGATGGGTTCCAGCCAAGGCCTCAACCCTGCCCCACGGTAATGAGGGCCATTCTCATACTCCTGCTCCCAAAGGACAAGGAATTATCAAAACTGCCAACTCAGAGTCCTCTGTACATAACAGAACCAGGCGTGGTGGGTGAACAGTGCACACAGGGCAGCACAGCTCACAGGAGGAGCTGCCCAGCAGCAGCAGCTCACAGTGCAGGAGCCTCCAGGCTTTCTCATCAGCCCGTCCAGACAAGAAGGCCTAGGGGAAAGGGAGGGGTGAGGCTTAAGTGTTCAGAAGCCAAACACCAAATACGTGGACCCTTGGCACTCATTACAAGAACAAACAGAATAAGAAAAATAGGCATTCACACTGGCTTGTTTTTACATAAAGAAGCACTAACAGGAGGATGAAGCAGTTCTCCAAAACTGGTCATTTGAGGGGGGCTGGAGTGAGAGCAGAGGAGTGGGGCAGGACGCGCAGGCAGGGAGTCTCCTTAAGTTAGTTTCTTTTCTTAGGAATTTTTTTAAACTTCCCATGAATGATTTATTTAAAATAACGAGAGAAATTTTTATACGCCATATTTTCCTTTGCTTAATCTTTATTTTTAATTAATTTTTGCATTTTAAAATGATTTTAACTTTTCTACATAGGAAATCACTCCAAGATTTAATCCTTTAAACACTAACGAATACAAAACTGCAGTCAATAAAAAAGATTTAAAAATTCCTTTCCAACTAAAATGACAAGGGACATATAGTTTGTCCCTCCACTATATTTACACTGGTAGTATTTTCAGGAAAAAGCAGCATGTTATGAAGCATTAGGGGTTTGAAATTTAACCCTTAAATGTACTGAGAATTTCAAAGGTTTCCATAACCTTGAGGTGTTTTGCTCACACTAATGAAAATATAAATTCAATTGCTTTCCCTCAAATCCTTTAAAATAGGAATTCATTTGCCTAAGGAATAGTACAGCCTTTCAAATGTCAAAACTCTGTACAGACAGATACATATAAAAACTGTCGTGAAAATGGAAAAAGCACCTGATAACTTAAATACACCCATCTCACATCTTGAGTTTCTCTTCCCGAAATGGAACAAAAATTCAATTTGTTTCCACAATTTTCCTACCTTACATTATATCTCTCAATCATACCTCTCCATCAACTTACATTTGAAAGCCCAAGTGCTAATGGAAACTAGAATCAAAGGCTGCAACCTTCAGTAGATAAAGGAATACAAGGATGAAAGTTGACCATATTCCCAGACTTGAGGTCTAGATACTCTTGGTTGAGACCGAACCCCTGGAGTGGGTCAGTCCCTGGTGGAGGAGGGTGGGGCAACTGAGCAGCTACAGGAGTGAACTCTGGGAGCTCCACACCTTCCCCTCCCCAGGGAATAATGCAAATGCTCCCTCTCTCAGGCTTCCCTTCCCACAATGAGGAAAACTCAGCTGGATTCAGTTTAAGTTTCAGACCCAAATGAACTCCCAAATTCATAAACCCTCTGTCCACGGGACAGAACACCTGATCTTCACAGACTTTCTCGATGTTCACAAATTACACTCTCAGTGCACCTACAGTGTGAAAGCAAAACTCAAAGATAACATCCAAAAATCTAGGCCTAAGGAACCACAACCACAACCTCAGAAAGGGCATCACTCCCTGTCCCCCATGAGCACGTGCACCCCCAGCTTTCCAGGGCTCTGCAGCTCCTCTCAGTATAGAGGCTCCTTCCATGGGGGGTGTGAGCAGTAGGACACCTGCAGGGGGAGGCTCCCCAGGAAAAACAACTGGGCCTTCAAGTCCTTCCCTTTGCAGGCCCAAGGGAGCCTTGGCTTGGGGCAATGACTACAGGGTGTACTCCCCACTGAAGTTGCTTTGGAATACCACTGATATTTTAAATGACATGAATCCAGTGTTTGGACAGTCCAGAAAGATCAGTTAAACTCATCCTTTGTGTGGAAAGGAGGGAAGAAAATTGTAAGGCACTTTTACTGGTTCAACCAGAAAACCCCAAATATCTATTCTTTTGAGAAAAAAGATGTCACTTTATTATCTCCATGGCAAGAAATTGGTTTGTAAATAATTAATCGTACTTGAACACCTGTGGTCTGCATGTCTAAGCCCTGAAATTTCATTTGAAAACATCCAAAAGTAAATACAGACCTCAGAATCTTTGTACACACTCAGGAAGAAAAAGTGAAATCAGAATTCTTAACAAATGGAATACAATCCAGGAATTTTTTTTTTTTTTTTTTTGAAATTCACCTTATTCTTGCTAGTTTGGAAATATTTTACACTGTATTTCAAACTCTATTGATTAAATACATATTACGCTTATTGAAAGACAGAGACTTAAATAAATGAATAAATCTTCTCAAGGTCACAAACACAAGGAGAGGCAAGACTGACAGGACAGATCACCCAGGAAAGCTGCTCAAGAGGACCCTCCACCCAAAGGCCTTCCCCGAGGACGTCTGGGCCCAGAAGGATCCTGGGGGGAGACGCACAGGATTTTATGCAGTGTAGTTCCAGGTGGTTATGTTCTGCTGTCTTCTAATGGAAAATATCCACAGACAAATATAATCTGTAAAAAAGAGCCATCCATGGTGCTGGGGAATAAGGGTAAACAGTTAAATATTGGTTCTGTTTGAAATGAACCATAGAGGACAAATAGTTGCTAATGCTGTGAATCCGAGAAGGGAAGTTGACTCTGGGAATGCAGAGAGACAACACTGAAAATTTAGGAATTTATTGCCAGTCCTAGGAAGTGCTAGGCTGGGGAGACAGGGTAGTGGATTTGAGGACAGGTTCTCTCAAATCCACCTTAACAAAAGAAGAAAGCAGGGGATCTTTATAGAGCTAAGGGGCTTGGGATGAGAAGTTTCAGAGACAAAGGGGAAATCCACATTTCTTTCACTCCAGATAAACAAGACTCTGAGTGTTAAAGGCAGCTGGGGGCTGGTTATCTGGTGATCATAACTTCCTTAAAGACATTCTTTTACTTCTGCAAAATGAACCCATAAATCCTTGTGACCCTTGAGTCACCCCTCAGGTTAAATAAGAAAATAGCAAATTAACAAGATTAACTTCTTTTCATCTGTGTCTCTGTCGGGAAAAAGGTCAAAGGTAATCATGTTCTTATTGAATATTTACAGTAACTCTCAGGTACCTGGCTTCACAACAAGAGGGTCTTATGTCCTCTAGGGGTCAAGGGCTTGGTGTAAGTCTGTCACACACACATGAAACCTTGACCCTTGTTTAGAAACACAGACATTTAAATGTGACCTCACCATCTGTAATAGAGAATCTCGCTCCATTTTGATTTTTCCTCCTTGCCAATGTTCAGCCTTCCACCCACCTCTGCCCCACCCCTACTCATTGGGAACTTAAGATAAACAATCCCAGAGTGCTTGTCTTTTGGGAAGTTGGAACCACGCAGCCCTGGCTGGGCACAGGGACTCCTCAGACTCACCACAAGCTAAGAGATATGTTCACTGAACTCTCAAGTTTACATTTTACACTGGAGGGAAATTTATTTTAGATCAATTTTTATCTTTGTCCCTAGAGAAGTTTGAGATGTAAATGGTTATAATATCCCTAAGGCAATTGATTCCTAATTGACTGATATAAGACAACCAATAAATCATTATGTAGATGTGGGATGCATTTGGAAAGTTTTTTCCCCAGCTTTATTGAGGTATAATTAACAATATTGTTTATATTTAAAAATTACAACCTGATGATTTGATATATGTGTACTGTAGACAATGGATTAAGCTTTCTCACCACACACAATGTAACTATGTCAGGTTATGGATCTGTTAATTAACCTGGAAATTCTAATAAGCCTAAGAGGGGACTGTAAAACTCTTTTGCTTTGCAAAGCTCTTAATGCATTTATTTACATATATGAACAATTTTATTGAGATAATCCGTATACAGTCATGCCACACGTAGTGACGTTTGCGTCAATGACTGACTGCATATAACACAGTGGTCCAATAAGATCAGTACCATGGTATTAATCCACAATGCATAAGTCCAAATTTCCCATTTTTTCTCCATTATGGCTCTTGCTGTCATATCTAACATACTTTTGCCAAATCCAAGGTTAGGAATTGTTCCTATGTTTTATATAGTTTTATTATACATTTACTCTCATCTTTAGGTCTTTGATCCTTTTTGGAAAGCCATTGTATGTTGTGTGTTTTAAGGATACAGTATTTTTCTTTTGCATATGGCTTTCCAGTTGGCCCAGCACAAATTTATGAAAAAAATATTCTTTCCTCATTTTTGGTACCTTTGTCAAAGATCACTTGACCATAAATGTGGGAGTTTATTTCTCTACTCTCAATCTTCCATAGATCTCTATGTCTATCCATGTGTCAGTACCACACTATCTTGATTACCTTTCGTTACCATAAAGTTTTGAAATCCCAAAATGTTAGCCCTACTACTTTGTTGTTCTTTTTCCAGGTTAGTTTGGCTATTCTGGTTCCCTTGCAATTCCACATAATTTATGAAACAGCTTGCCAATTTCTATAAAGAGTACAGCTGGGATTATGATAGGTATTGCATTCAATCTCCAGATCATTTTGTGGAGTAGTTTCAAC